CACAACAAGACAGCCATCCTACCCAACAACAAGCTTTACCGTAAATAATACCACATCAACATTTCTAAACCCGGACGAACCTGTCTTATATAGCGTAAGGAACAGTTTTACAGCACTTGCAACACAATTAGGTCATATAAATGCTGAAGATTAGAGGTGAATCTAGAGAGTAACACACAAATGAAAAAAGGATGAGAGACAAGAAGGACAGATGCTAGATAGGAAAGAAGTTACAAACCACACCAGAGCACCCACCAACCAACCACAAAACCTGTCTAATGTAGAGTGAATTTAAATCAAAAAGACATGTCCTCGTGTTTCCCAGAGATAGTTCTATATTTCTAACTTGTCCTCTCAGTCCCCAAGTTTCCCAGAGATAGTTCTATATTTCTAACTTGTCCTCTCAGTCCCCATGTTTCCCAGAGATAGTTCTATATTTCTAACTTGTCTCAGTCCCCAAGTTTCCACTGAGATAGTTCTATATTTCTAACTTGTCTCAGTCCCCATGTTTCCCCGAGACAGTTGTCTATTTCTCTCGTGGCGGTATCTACCTCGACTGCGGCGTGCGGCAAAGAGTGAACGGTGAGCAGAGAGTTGGCCTCGGACGGACAGAAGGAACAGGCGCGGACAAGACGACCTGGGGAGACAAGAGAGAGAGAAAAGTTATCAGAACCAAAGGAAAACCATCAACATACAGAGTTGTCATTGTCTCACACGTCCAGCTACTGTCGCAGAGAAAACTGGCCGTCTTTGTGAGGAGGAAGCTTTTACACAGGGTCAGTACAGGTGGCCATTTGTACAGGCGATTGTCTTATACAGGTGGTTGTCTTATACAGGTGGTTGTCTTGTACAGGTGATTGTCTTATACAGGTGATTGTCTTATACAGGTGACTGGTTGTCTTATACAGGTGGTTGTCTTATACAGGTGGTTGTCTTACGCACAGGTGGTTGTCCTATACAGGTGACTGGTTGTCTTATACAGGTGGTTGTCTTATACAGGTGGTTGTCTTACGCACAGGTGATTGTCTTATACAGGTGACTGGTTGTCTTATACAGGTGATTGTCTTATACAGGTGGCCATTTGTACAGGTGGTTGTCTTATACAGGTGACTGGTTGTCTTATACAGGTGGTTTTTAAAAAATTACATAAAAGGTTCTTTCAGAAGAATCAGTACATTTCCTTTTTTACCAGAGCGCTACACAGGAAGGATTTTTGCCTGTTTGTTTTGGCAAAGTTTTCTATGACTAGAAATCAAATCCTGGCCTGAATTGTACAAAAAGAAAAATGTTTAGATGGCGTTAATTAACGTCAGTGACTGACCAGCTAAGAAGTTGGGTGTCCCAAGCATTGCCACATTGTCCGAGAAACTGGCGGTGGGCCGGCCGTCGCGACGTCGCTCCTCGTCAAACGATGACTTGGACTCTTCATCCAGGATGGTGAACAGGTACTGGGGAGAAGACAGAGAGAGGACATTACAGGTACTGGGGAGAAGACAGAGAGAGGACATTACAGGTACTGTGGGGAAGATAGAGAGGACATTACAGGTACTGTGAGCAAGACAGAGAGAGGACATTACAGGTACTGTGGGCAAGACAGAGAGAGGACATTACAGGTACTGTGGGCAAGACAGAGAGGACATTACAGGTACTGTGGGCAAGACAGAGAGGACATTACAGGTACTGTGGGCAAGACAGAGAGAGGACATTACAGGTACTGTGGGCAAGACAGAGAG